ATGTTTTGTTCCCTTGTTTAAAAGCTGCCACGGACCTACAGGAGCTGTGACGGTCCCCCCATATTTTTTTCTTCAAATTTGCATGAAACAAATCCGGTCACGGACTTGCTATGTCCATGACAGACTGCCACAAACATGCTAAGTCCGCGACTGTCATTAATCCACGCCGTCTGAAAAAATCGGATAGCGTCGAGTCCATCGGCGAAAATATTGTTCATTTTCGCCCATAAGCGTTTTGTTGTCTTTTCCATGGAAAAATATTAAAAACGCCTATAGGTGAAGAGTTCCAGTGTTTCCCCTCCATCACGGACATGCTATCTTCGTGACTGTTTTGCCTAAAAACCGCCACGGATCTGTGGGAGTCATGGCTGTCCCCTCATATTTTTTGCTTCAAATTTGCATGAAAAAAATACCGTTACGGACTTGCTATGTCCGTGATGGACTGCCACGGACATGCTAAGTTTGTGATGGTCTTTAATCCACGTTGTCTGAAAAAAATTAGACGGCATCGAGCCTATGGGCGAAAACACTGTTCATTTCGTGCATAGGCGTTTTGTAGTCTCTTATGTATATATATATATATATATATCTATATATACATGCAGTGATCTAATGCAATGGTTGTATCATAGTATAATGCAACTACACTTCTAGAAAACTATATTTGTGGTATTTGTATGATCTAAAATTTTGCACACGCTCTCTTGACCTCAATAATGAATCTCTAAAAAAAAAAGAAGTTCGATTTGAACTTTAGATACAGTCAAAATTAGTCCCCTCCAACAACGAATCTAGACCATTCATTTGGTAAATTTCAAGACCTTAACCTTTAAAAACTCAAACTCATTTTTTTTCTGTTTTAACATTATTCATCTAATGGTAATAAAGCCATCTAAAACATTGGAAAAAAATCATTCAAAGACTTATATCTAAACATCTTATTAAAAGGGACGACCTATGTTAATTGGGCTAAAACACTAAAATTGAAATTGCGTTTTATTTTACTTTATTTTATTGTTCATTAGAATGAAAAGAGTGTATATTTTAAAATTTGGATCAAATAAATGATCTTAACATGGTTTTTGAAGTTCCCTTGCATAAAATCACTGCCCTACCATACAATCTCTTTTTGTGTGTGTATTTTAATATATTTTCTGAATATTTTTCAAAATAGTTTGTTAGGTTCTAGACCCGGACCAAATTGGGTGGGGTTCGGGTCCAAGTTTTGGATTCGATGGGCACGTTTGGGTCCAAAACCTTGGACCCGAGTTGGGTCTGTGTTGAGTTGCAGTCTAGGTCGACCTGAACCTGACCCGACCCATGGCCGCCCCTAGCATCTGTGGTGCCAACCCACTACAACACCTGTTAGGAGGTGCGATTTAGTTCAAGTAGAAAGATTGAAAATGACAAGTAATTGGCCCAAAAGGACATGGTTGGAAGTTATCCGAAAAGATGTAAGGACTTATGGCCTTATTGAGGGTATGACTTTTAATAGAACATAATATAGGACCACGATTTAGCCTACCCTAATTAATTAGAAAAATGCTATAATGATGATGGTGAACGTCTTCAACCAAGTGACCAACCTTGAAAAAGTCAAAAATCCTATGCACTCTACAACCAAGTGACCAACCTTGAAAAAGTCAAAAATCCTATGCACTCTATACGTACTTAGATCAATTTTTAGATGGTAGATCCAAGTGTAGGAACTCAAAATTCAGATTTGTTTTTTTCAATACTCATATGGATTCAACTATATAGAATTTTATAGCCAAAACTTGCTCTCAACTAACTCTTTAGTCCCAGGGAATAAGTGCACAGTGAGCTCCTGCATAGAGGAGTATGATATAAGGACAGGCATGGTCATTAGTCCGGCTTGACGCATTTCTGAAGTGGGCAACTTTTTAGAAGGAAAGAAAACATCATATTCCTTCTTCGGACCTTGGCGTTAATATGATCCATTTGATAAGCCGAATGTCTATGTCAATTCACCATTTTGCAAACGAATCTTTGAAATTTTTTCTAGATCCCCCTAGAAAGATGCCTTGGGGCTTTTCTCAAAAGGGACAGTTTGATCATTTTGAAGTCATGTGGTTTTCTCAATAATACTGACCAAAAAAAAAGAAAAAAAAAAAAACAAAAACGAAAGAAGAGCCTTTGAGTAAATATCAAGTTTTTGGGTGGCCGGGAAAACCACACAACTTATCACCATTGATTTAAACTATTTTTCACAGAAGAAAAAATCGACAAGAAAAGAAGAAAATGATCATCATGATTTTTAGCTGCAAAACTGGAGTTATTGGGGTATTAATGAGAAAGATAAGGTAAGCGTCACGCTTGGGAGAGTAGAGGCATCGATGGCTATTGAAGATGGGAATAATGATTTCATTGGACCCAAGATCATGGAACCCATGTGCCTCGTGCCCTACGGAAAGAGATATTTTGTTTTTTTTGGTTATTTAAAGAGATATTATTATGCTTCATAAATGTAACGTAATACTCCCTTATTTTTATGTGTCAATTAGCAAAAAGTAATCTCTATAATTTTAGGGTAAAATCTAAGGGGGCATTTTGGTCATTTATTTTTATAAAAAATATTTGCTTTTTATTTTTTCCAAGTTCACCCTAATTTTATGATGCGACGTACATAATTTCATCACATTTTATAGAAAAAAATGAAAAATAAAACAGTGTTTGACATGACATTGTGATATTGAACAATCGTAGCCGTTTAATTCAAAACAACCGGTCAAAAAATGAGATCATATATAACTTATATGATGTGGGGTCACATAAAACTATTTTCCAAAATTTCAGAGCATTGATACAAATTTGACCCCAAATATATTTGTTGGCTTCATGACGGATACATGAGATGGGGCTGACATAAGAATCAAGGTTTATTCATCTTTTGTTTTTTTTTTTTCCACCTAAAACTCACCGAATTCTAGATCAATAAGGTCAGAATGGGACTAAATTTTTTGGGGAAAAAAAAAACAAATCATCTGTTGTGACCTTGAAAATGACATCAATATCGGCCGTCAGGTGATCTTCTCAACGATGGCGTGCGCATTTGATAATAAACGTGGTCTAAATTATTTGAATGGGTTTTTGGTCCACCTTTTGCTACTTCTATCCTTCGAACACATTTTGGTCCCTCCCTCCCCTATGGGTTATGGTATCAATCTCGTAATGAAGACATCAGATGCACCCAAAAAAATCCTACTAAAAAGATTGTTTTGATGCCCTAAAACACTAAGTTTTGTCTCAGCCTTAATTTGTATGGATACTAATTTGTATGGATACAAAAAGAAAAAAAGATTTGAAGTCTTAAAAATATTCTATATTATAATACATTTTCCATACTATCTATTTTCATAATTCTAGATCTTTTTAAACCCGCTCGCTGTACAACAATTTATGGAGCTTTAAATTTTATAATTTGGGGTGAAAATAGATGTTTAGGTCATCGAAACAGTTTTCGGTAGCGAAATTGCATCGTTTAGCAATATTTAGAGGTGCGCCGTACCTCCCCTTATCTAGCCGTTAGGTTTGAATGAACCGTTGAGATGGATCTAATTACAATTTCGCGTCTCGACACTATTTTCTTTTTAGTTGCCTCTATTCTATTTTATTTAATTTTATTATGTATCTACAAAACATTTTGACACCAATTTTTGGGTGTCTAATCCTCTCTTAAACTCACACATGTAAAAAATATAAAAAAATATTCTCAATAAAATAAAATGATCAAAATACCTTTGAAATTATCTGGGATAGTTTGATCATCTTTTTGTAAGAATATTATTTTTATATTTATTAAGGTGAGCCCTATTGAGATGATGACACATACCAAATTTCATATTTATATATTTTATAAAATAAAAGCTAAAAATAAAATACTATGAATTGTCAGATCTAATTCAAACAGTTAATGATTTATTTGATCTAAATTAGATGATTGGATGAGGAGGAAGTATAGATTTAGAATGTTCAATAGGAATACAAATTTAATGTTGCTAGGTTTGAAATTCCATTTTCATTTATGAATTTATTAATTTCCTCACAAATCGTTACCCAATTAACAAATCCGACGGTTGATATTTCATTCCAGTTTAGAAACGGCAGCGTTGATATCTTCACAATCCAATGGCGCCAGTTAGTTCACGCGTCCATTCCTGTCTGGTCAAACGCTGTCTAGAAGCAACGAATCTGTAGATGCTGAATTAAAAACAAAGGAAATTATAAATAAAAATTTATTATGAAGAATTTTGAATAGGTCAAATGAAGCTGCCAAAATAAAGCGACAATCAAAGGGGAAGGAAAAGTCAAAAAAAGCAAAAACTTTCAAAAAATAAATAAAAATATGATGATATACTGACCTCAACAACCCAATTGTAATAAATAAATAAAATTGTATATTAAGTAAGTGTTCATACGGATTCGTTAAATGTGGGCTACTGCTCCGGGTTTCATGGCTGCTTTGACATATAAATACGACCTTTTTTCCTCCCATTTGACATCCCAAAAGCTCTCTCTTCTCTCAGTCTTCTCTCTCTAAGGGCGGAACCAGATTTTTCTTGAGAGCTACTCTAATGGCGACTAAAGTCTACATTGTGTAAGATGCTTCTATTTTTCCTTTTCCTTTTTTTTATTTTTTATTGTTTAGTCTTTTCATGCTGATTTTCTTTGTTAATTTAATCCGATCTTCATTCTATGCTATTATGGATGAATATTGCCTGGTTTTGGTGATCATTTGGGGGATTTCTCTGCTGATTTGACGGATCTATCACAATTGTTACCATGATTATCTCTCTTCATAGTGTGGGCTGGATCATTTGATTTTGATTCATAGGCTTGAATTATTAGAATTTCTGTGTTGTCTTGTGATGTTTGGTTCTACTTCTTTTCGTCATTTTGGTTTTCCATTTTCAGAGAAGTTGTGCCCTTTCTTGTGCAGGTTTTTTTTACATGATATTTTCATTTTTCCAAAGGGGAAATTCTACTTATAATTTTGATGTGATGTTAAAAAATTTGGCTTTTGCCAATGAATGTGATCTCCCTGCCTGCTGTCTTTAACAATGTCATGTAAGCTGGCGTTCTGTTTACCCTTCCTATTTGAACTAATGTTTTTGTAACAGGGTCGTTAATTATATCAATTATTGATATTTTTCGGATTAATAGTCCACAAGCAAGAACTTTATGGGTATATATTGGTAAATTGTATTTACCGACATCCTTTTTGCGGCCATTGCCTAAAATTTTCCTGTGGCAATTGTGTAATTCATTTTCCCCTACATTCTTCATCTGTATTATTCTAATACATTCTGAAGTGACATTCTTTATCTGGAGCGCAACAGAGGTAAAACGTTAAGATTTTGAGAACTCTTAACTTTATGGGATGGCTCTGTGGAGGGTGAACTGTATGAATGATTTCATGCTGTTTTGTGAATATCATATTAGGAAGTAAAATGCATGCATTGTTTGGGATAATTTTTAGGGAGTAAATCCTTTGGTGATTTACATTACTTTATCAGGAATGATGCATTTCACTTGGCAGACAGTATTATTAGTAGGTCTATCTTTACATGTTTCATGCTGGTGGCTTTATTTAATTTGAATGGATAAGATGCACTTTTTTTTCTTGGAAACCGTCGATTACCCATTATGAAGGACTTTCTTTTTGAATATGAAAATGGCTTTGCTGGTGGAAGAGCTGGTTCCGATTGCTTGCCAACCAGCAGACTTTGGAGATTCCTGCAATAAATGTCTAAAATTCTATTTCTTATGTGCATAAATAAATGAACCAGAATTTTTACAACTTTTATTCGAAGCTTTCTATCTGCTCTGTTTTGTGGTTATGTTATGCCATTGGGTTTGTAACAGTAAACTATGGACTAGATTTTTAAAGTAGATTAAATATTGAATGAACCATTTAAGTTTTCAAAAACAGAGATTCTTTTCAGGAAGAAACCATCTCATCAGCTGATAGCGTAGTGTTTCTATTTTACATTGCACATTTGGCTTTAATGGTGATCTGCACTTGATATTTTTTGCAACTTGTTTCTATAGGAAACTGTTTGTAAATTCTTGGGTGGTTACGATTTTTTGTGCTTATCTTAATCATTAGTTTTCTTTGAACTCTAAGGATTAATTTTATTATAAATGTCCAGAATGTTACCTACGGACTATTGTTGTCTAGGTTTCAGATCCTTTTCAATCTTAAAGAAAAAAAATGGTCCTGAGTATTTTTTGACAAGTCTAGAATAGAATCTCAAGTTCCTGTGTTGAGTTATTGGGAAAATGCAATTGATGATAAACATTCAGGGACTAACTTCATCATGCTGAGAGCTGCTGTTTGCAGCTTTTCTGAATTAATCTGTTAATATCAACCCTCATGGTTTGTCATGTAGACATTAATAATTAATAGAGAAAAAACAAAGTGTGACAGCTGGCTCAGAAGTTTTATCCATGCATCCATTACATGATGTTAATAGATCATACCACCTGGAGTTCTCTAATTTTGTGCAACTAAATACTCACTTATCATCTAAGAACTAAGAAGTTAGACAAAACCACTCTTATTATCCATGGCCTCTGCACGATACTCTAGATCTGCGATCAAATCTGTTACCTCTTGAGTATTCCCTTTAACTACATTTATATTTTCATCGGTTTACTTTTTTCTTTCTATATATTTTCCTTTTCCTTTTTGCTTTTTTCTTTTAAGTACATTGTTGACAAACTTCCTCATGTCAATTCCACATCAGCAACTCGGCAGTTTAATGTAGTCCAATGCACGGTGTTATGCTCTACTTACATAACCTTATATTGAAGGGCTGGTACCTGATCTATCTCATATGTTTTCCATTTTGACATGGTTTACTGGCTTCTATCATCCCTGACTTACTAGATTATGGGTTCAGGACTTACGTTTTAACAGCTTTGGGAAGAACATAATACCCTTTTTCTTCTGAAAAATGGTGATGATGGCAGCATCTCTCTCAAATTAAAATATGCAGCTTAAACATTGATAGAAACAATATTCAGCTTAAACATAATTGTTAACCGATGTGATGGTGATTTTATTATATACATATGTGAGAACTTCTGAAACTGTGTTGATCAACATGTTGAATTTGATAATACAGATACTATTCCATGTATGGCCATGTTGAGAAACTGGCTGAAGAGATAAAGAAAGGAGCTTCATCAGTGGAAGGAGTTGAAGCTACCCTATGGCAGGTTAGAACTTCCTATCTGAGCAGCATTTGTGGAACCCATAATGTGAAAAATTTGGGACCAACTTTATAGACATTTTTGCTCTTGGATAGGCCTTGTTGTGCAGTCTTGGCATGACGCTAAGCTTTGTACACATCTTTGGCTGTTAATTTGAATTGGCGTTATGCCTATAGGTACCTGAAACACTACCAGATGAAGTACTTGGAAAGATGAGTGCTCCACCAAAGAGCGATGTTCCAATTATTCAACCACATCAGCTCGCAGAAGCCGATGGCCTTATTTTTGGTTTCCCGACAAGATTTGGAATGATGGCTGCCCAATTCAAAGCATTTCTTGATGCAACTGGTGGGTTATGGAGATCTCAGCAATTAGCAGGCAAGCCAGCAGGCATCTTCTATAGCACTGGGTCACAAGGTGGCGGGCAGGAGACAACTGCGTATGTAGCCTCATACTTAAATAGTTTTTATACTTTTTTGTCCACAAGTGCTACAAAGGGAACTAGCATTTACCTTGCGAATAATCTTCAATGGGTAACCAAAATCATGGCCTCTTTGTTCTCTTTCCACTTTCTTCTTCCTCCTTGTTCATCGCCTTTTCACTTAAAGAGAAAACATTTACCCCTGGCTCACCTTTGTTTTGCATTATGCAGTTGGAAAGTTGTAAAGGAAAAGATAATGTCCCATGAGGGACTCACTGTCCATTCAACCTGCATCCTGCTTTATTGATTATAGTACTGATAAAGTAGACTTTTTCAGACAGTAAATGTCTTAAAGTTTTTGACATTCATTTATCAAGTACGTCACAAAATTGTTCTGAATTCATATTGGTTGAGACCTTGGCAATTTATAATAATCTTTCCCGTTGTTCTGCTCGACTTCTAGTTTTCTAGAATGTAGACTTGGAAAACCATTTTCACATTGTGAGATTATTTTGACAGAAACTAGAAAAGTATGTGTTGTTTTGATAGATTGTTCTTTGAGCTAAAAGATGTGACTTTGTGTGTAGTTCTGGGCATTTCTTGGCTTTTCTATTTTTTCTATCTGCTACTAGTAACTTCTCTTTATAATTTGAAATACTAATATTGCTGGATTGCTCTATTTGACCAATAACTGAATTTTTTTGGTTAGGCGAGTATTTTCTCAGTAAATGTCAAAAGTTCCAACTGCCTATGGTTCTTTCAGTATATTACCAAAATGATCTTACCTCCCATGTAATCTACTTTTTGTTGGTTAGGCAAGTATTTTCTCAGTAAATGTCATAAGTTCCAACTGCCTATGATTCTTTCAATATATTACCAAAATGCTCTTAACTCCTATGTAATCTACCATTCTCATGCATTTTATGGTTCCCTTTGATTATTTGATTGACCTTTGTCTTTTTTTTTATCTTTTCTGTGCAATTAACATGACAACCACTGGTTGAATCTATATAAGAAGCTTTCGTTTGGCTATTTGTTTCCATTTGCAGCTTGACTGCCATAACTCAGCTGGTTCACCATGGAATGATCTACGTGCCTATTGGATATACATTTGGAGCTGGCATGTTTGAGATGGAACAGGTTAAAGGTGGCAGCCCATATGGTGCAGGCACATTTGCAGGTGATGGTTTGAGGCAGCCATCAGAGCTCGAGCTCCAACAAGCTTTCCACCAGGGCAAATATGTTGCTGGTATTGCAAAGAAACTCAAGGGGGCTGCCTAAAATTGTGAAGATACATACTGTGTTTTCCATTCAATTATCTCTACACATGTATCATTTATTTTTTGATATTATGTTTTTCTACCACCGCCCCTTGCTGCTTTTGTGGCTTTGAATAATTCGGTGTTTTATTGTCTTATTCTAAATAGAATATGTAGCTTCTGTGTGAAAGTTTCCCTTAAGAGCAGACTTATTGTCATAATGTAATACTTCGATTTTCATGAAAAAGTTACAAACTTCTGCCTCCCAATTATGTGTTATACTTCCCTTAAAGTATCCCGCTGGACTGTGACTGTCTTTCAGTGGCAGGCTACTCAGACAACATGATCATCTGAGAGGGTTTTCGGGGTTTTTGTTTCTTTTTACTCTGTATCAACCATTTTGAAATATAATATGCTCTGTGACTACTGGAGAGTAAACACTGATACCAGCCCAATCACACAGGGAATTTACATCTCCAGACATCTTACTTATGTATAGAGAGCATCTTTAAATGTTACACGCGCATCTTATGCATCAATGCCTGTGTTCACAGCCATTGAGCATTTATAAGCATGAACCTTGTCGTTCTTTATCACGCTTGAAGAGAACAAGCTGAGAACTTCTTCATTAAATAAGGTCAGATGCTTTGGGTTCCTTGGGTTACCCAATGTACCCTCGGTTGCCTTGGAATGGATGGTATTACAATAAGATATTACTCTAAGCTCTGTAGAAATTCTGGTTTTTGTCCTTTCCTATGGCTTCTTTGACTAATGAGATTCAAGGCTCTATTGTTTATCCTATAATTTAGCTCAAAGCAAATATAAGCCCTTCCGTTTTAGCTCAACGAATATAACTCTTCCAGCAATGGCGGCAACTGTATGTCTTCTCTTTGCAGGAAGAAATTGCTGTGTTATTTTGATAGTTATTTTTCCAAACTATATCAGACATTTGCTAATTATCATAAATGAATGGCTACAAATCAACTCCTTTTGACATGTTGATAAATGAAATTGATTCTACGTGTCATATTATTATCCATATGACTATGGTCAGCCATTTTATGAGCCATCTCACTAGAATTTATTTTGAACTCACGAGCTTAAGACTACGAGTTATGCTTTGGTTTCATGCATAATCAAGAGCTGGAGATGTTTCTCATATTTCAACCCACTAATTTATGTGATTGCTGCCCTTTTGGCAGAACTTAAAAAACATAAGAACCTTATCACCAACTAGAAAAAAATAAATCTTTGTTACTCCCATTGATCATATTTTCCACTGGAGGTTACTACTGTCAAATTGCGTAAGGCTTAAAATACGACAGATATGTTGTCCATTGTGACAATCAAAGCCCTATCCACTTGAGCAAGAATCCAAGCTTCCATTCAAGGACAAAGCACAATGAGCAAGAATCCAACCTTCCATTCAAGGACAAAGCACAATGAACTTGAGCAAGAATCCAAGCTTCCATTCAAGGACGAATCCATGCTTTCATTCAAGGACAAAGCACATGGTGTGCATTACCACTGGATTTGAAATTCTATTGAGAATAAGTTGACGCAGATAGAGAAGATCCATACCAACCAAAATGCATTGGATAAACATGCCTAGAATGGATGTGAGCACCAAGTCGATTTACAAGGAAATGCCGTCCTTATGGGAGTGTCCCATCCCTTTAAGGGGCACCGATGGTAGGTGAAGGTGCTTCGGACCCCTATCATTTTGCGTAGTGGAACAGACAATGACTTCTTGAGCACGCCATTAGGGATGGGATGTAAAGGAACATAGTGTGAGGTTCTAGGAAAATTGTTGGCTCTTTGGTAGAATACCTCTTATGTTGTGTATGTTTATGGGTGTCTATATGAGAGAGAGAGAGAGAAGGGGGCGGAGGGAGGGAGTCCTAAGAGAGAGAAGCCCTTTATAGATATATTGCTTTGTAGGAGGAGTTTGCTCCATCAAGTTCTTGCAACCCCATTGTTTAATGTATTGTTTTCTTCTCTCCTAAAAGGTAAACCATGATAAATCTCGTGTCCAGTGTTTTTTTCATTTATTTGCCTTTCTTTTTGTTTCCCAATTCACACAGACACGCACACATATGAAGTGTTTGTTTTTCAAGCTCAAAGATTAATGCTCTATTATTGCACATCTGCATTGTTGCGAGAGAGCTCGAATAGTGTGGGTGTCACAAGTCATTCAAGTTTTTCCTTAAGAAATAGATTAGTGAACATCAAGTGGTTAGACAAGTAGATTGAAAAAGAATTCTTTGTGGCTCTAAACTGTAAATGTATATGAAGAGCTTGGATATACTAATTACATGTCCTAAGCATCATCCTATTGTTTGGGTATATCTTTAACACAACCTAAACTTTGTCAAAATACATTCTTCAGAAAATCTTCTTCTTACTTAGGCCAAGCACGATAAGGGCAAGATTCACACTAAGTGTTGAAAATTACATTAACTGAGTTCAATACTTTGGCATTTTTTAAAAAAAGCTAGGGATAACATATATAAATGACAGCGTCATTGACCTCTAATTCACAACCTTTACAAGACACTCCGGTGGATTCACTCTCTATCCCATTGTGCTCCGGTGCATGCTCAAAACAAATTATTATCCAAGATGATTATTCTTATATGCTCCGGTGCATATAAAACATACTATCCCTTTACTCATATTGAGATTTGTTATTGACAAAATATACCATCCCTTTACTCATATTGAGATTCGTTATTGACAAAATACATTGTCCCTTTACTTTGGAAGAATGCGAACATGTTTTGGATGAAACTTTATACCTGTTGGGGGGGTAAATAAAAAATATGAGCGCCTTTCCTCAAGTGACTCCCTGATGGAAACATTATTTTCTTGTAGAATGTCGTACTAAAGAAAGTATGACAACACAAATTCAAGACTGGATGAACACTTCAGAGCCCACTCAAGGACGTGCTGATCGTGCAAGGCCAAGAGGACAATCTATGCATTCTACCACAACTGTCATACGTGATCGCAACTGTTAAACAAAAGCGTTCAGTGGTTATAGATAGACCACAAGAAAATAAGCAAGCGAGCCGTCCAGTATATGCAAAAAAGGCATAACAGAGAAACACAAATGCTAGTGAGATTATAGATGACCCTTTGGTATGCAAAGGAAGTATCTTGTAGTGAATCCATTTATAATCAATTAAACAAAGGTTTTTTTTTTCTCCAATATATGGGATAGTGAATGTAATTAACAAGGTGTCCACGGGTATCTTGGAACTGCTTGACGAAGATATAATAAAGAAGCGCTCTGTGCACTGATATACCCTATCAAAATGTTGTTTGAAGTTCCTCTTGAGTTGTTTTATGTACATATTTTTACATTCAGCTTAATATCACCCCAAACATCTAACAACTTAAAAACACCCCGATCTCGACTAGAGAAATTATGGATAGGTTGAAATGTCCTAGGCAGAGCACCCGGATATTTTAAAATATTCACACCACCAGAACCCTTTTAGGTAAACTTAGCCTCCATCAAACCAATATTGCCCCAGTGGGACCAAAGGTACCAAGAGGTGAGACAAGGCAAGACAGACTCACAATTACCTTACTTTGAAGCACTTCAAAAAGAAAGGTTATGATGTTGCCCCCCAATAGCCACCAAAGCGCAACGCACAAAGGCACCTCAATCAGGGAACAAATGACCAGGAAGGGAAGAAACCTGATGCCATTCCTAATGGCGCCAGCGTTAGTACAAACAACGCCCAGCTCTAGGTCCCCCCATGAACTCTAGAATGAACAGAAGTCTGCGGTACTGGCAATTCCGCTAGCTCCATTCCAAATAGCGCCAGACCTCCACCAGGTGGGAAACAACTTGACCAATATGAGATGACAAGCTGACATGTCAGTCCATACGTGTCGACATTGCAAGCCCTTACCGACATGTCAGAAGTTAATACCGCCCATGGTAGTCGAATTTCTATTGGACGATGAATTGATGAAAGTAAGCCTAGATGACGTGGTAGCTGATATTTGGCAAAACTACAAATGTCGTCAGCATCACTCGGAATAGCTTCAAGCTGTGATTGGTTCATCAGATACAAACCAGAGTCACCAAAATCTGACACGTGTCAGAAACCAGATTTGAAGGCAGTTAGAACATCGCCGGTGCCATTGCCAATGGTGCCAGACACTGATAGGGTCGTATCGGCCGCATTAATGAGAAATTAATTTTTGTTGACTGTCGTTATTGTTGCATTAATGACATGGCACCATTCCACTAGCGCCATCGCAACTCCAAATTTCGCCAAAACTCTGATAGTCCGAAAATCTCACAAAACTGACCTACAAGCGGTCATGGGTCCATTTTACTTATAAATAGGCTCTTTTGCCTCAGGCTTAAGGTATGGAATCTTGATAATTTTTTAGCCGAGGCTATGCCCAAGTTCCTTCGATCTTGAGATTAGTCCATGCTCAAAACACTTTGATCTTAAGCTCAAGCTTGTGGTTGTGAGAAAGCCCCAAGGTGGGCCCACTTGAGGAATCCCCATTCCATCCAAAGCCAATCCCAAAACTAAGCTACCAACCCCTTCAAGCTACACTATCAAATCAAAGGCGGTCTGGATAATCAGACCTTCCGAGCCCTCTTCCTCTTATTTTTACTTGTCCCGTTAAAAACCGAAAACTCGAGATTGATTGTGCAACCAAATGATCTAAATCGGCACTGACTCTGGGCGTCAGGCCTGGGGGCCCAACCTAAAGTATCATTTTCTTTTCTCTCAATTTGTTTCTTGCATTTATTTTATTTTTAGTTATTTATATATAATTTTCCTTATTTTCCCCTATTTATGACCTATTTATGTTCTCTTGTTTTCCATTTAATGTAGTATTTATTACCCATATATTAGTTATATTTAATTCTCTTTCTCTTCTTTTACCTTCTTTATTACATGGTTATGTTCCCTTTTTCTCATAGCATTTATGTTTTTTGGCTTGTTATATTTATGTCTCTTTCTTATCTTCCCTATTTGGTAGTGTATTTATTTCTTTTAGTTTGTTGTGCTTATTTCTTTTCCCCTTTTATTCATTTGATGGCATAAATCTTTCCTTCTTCTTCATCTTCTCAACTAAACATTTATTTCTTCCTCTTTATTATGGTTGTTTTCCTTAATTAATGATATGCTCTCTCTCTCTCTCTCTCTCTCTCTCTCTCTCTCTTTTTCGATCTTGTAGTCTAGATCTCATCTATCTCCACTTCCCCTTCTTTTCTTTCTTCCTTCTATAG